GTTTAATGAATAACACTGTAAAGATACCAACCATTGGATAAGTTACTTAGTAGAAAATGAGGACTTACTCATTGGTAATTTATAAAGCAAATAGCAAAACTGAATTTTATAACATGGCAATAAAAGGTTTGAATGAATGGCTTTGACAGTCTTACTTCTGTAAAATAACTTGTGCAGAAATATGAGATACAAAATGATAGATAAGCTGGTAAGGCTTTTATTTGCTACATAATTGAACATTGAATCCAGCTAAGTTTTAAATCTTTCTTAGGTCCTATACATTTCAGTGTATACACATGATTTTACAGAGTATTAAACGAATTCTGTAAATTATGTTCAGAGCTCATTCTGATAATAAAATTGAGGAGCCCTTTTTTAGACAGTCAGAGATAAAAAATGCTTTTCAAATAAAAGCTAGTTAGCTAGTTAGTATGCAAGGGAAAAGGCAATCAAAATAAAAATAGGAATACAGTAACCTGAACAGTGCTCAGATATCCTGCTCTTTGCATGAATTGCTTGTATTTGCTCCCCTTGCTGTTAACACCAAAGGCTTTCCAAAATAGATTGTCTGCAGTCACAAAATAAAGCTTGAAGATCAGACCTGATGTGGAGGCCTGTAACTTGGAAAGGAGGAGCAAGGCGCGTGGCTGTCTGCCAGATGGCAGGCAGGCGAGTTATCCCTCGGAAGGGTGTAATGCCGCTTAAAGAGCGGTGCTGGCTGTGGGTCCCAGGCAGCTGCACTGGACGAGGTGCTTGCTTGGGTGCTGTTTCTGATCAGGAGGGGTTTATAGGCTAGGTGGATCAGACGTAATATCTCAGGTATTGTCACTTTCTGCCCTGTGCAGTGATACTATAACCTGTTATTGATAGCCGTAAAATCCCTCATAGAATCATAGAATCATAGAATCGTTTAGGTTGGAAAAGACCTTTAAGATCATCCAGTCCAACCATTAACCTACACTACCAAGTCTACTCTAAGCCAATCAAGGGTAGACTAGACTAAACCATGTCCCAAAGTGCCACATCTACCCGTTTTTTAAACACTTCCAAGGATGGGGACTCCACCACCTCTCTGGGCAGCCTGTTCCAAATCTTGACCGCCCTTTCCGTAAAGAAATTTTTCCTGGTTTCCAACCTAAACCTCCCCTGGCGCAGCTTAAGCCCATTTCCTCTCGTCCCTCTATGGAGACAGAGTCCTTTTGCTCTCCCTCCTCATTTGCTTCAGCCAGGAATTGCCTTCTGTGTGCAACAGCAAGTTCTGGACTATAATACACCGCTGCTAAAATCCACTCCTTTCCAACTGCCCCAGCAAAGGAAGCGCAGCAGAGCCCTGCTGCTTCCTATAGAGGGAAGGGGCTTGAGGTCAGGGCTCTTGCTCTCAGGAGCAGTGAGCACGGCAAGGTGCAGGGACACCGTGCAAGGGTCCCTGCAGACGAGGTTCTCCACACCTGACCCATGGCACAGAGCAGAGGGAGCCGCTGCCGTCCCGGCCCCAGCGGAGCGCCTCCTCCATCAGCCATCCTCGCCCCACTGGCCTCCGGTTGGGGAACTGGGAGTGTTTGGCTCCCAGATCCTCTTTGAGGATCTACTTTCTGCATCATAAACATCATGTTCTTCAAAAGACATCTGTGGCAAGATATTCAGAAGTTACTTCTGTTCACCGTGCTTCTGCTGATAAAATAAGCACTGTAATTGGAATGTGATTTTAATAAAAGTTCTCATGCGTGGGGACTTCAGCAGTATACTTTGTTTGAACTCTCTTTATAGCCACTTTTTTCTTGCTAATCTCTAATCTGTGTTGCATTCTAGTAACAATATAAGAACCAATGATTAGCCAAGAAATACCTTTTATATTGAGTTTTCTGGTCAAAATGACAGTTGGAATTTGGGACTTATAGCATCGCCAGCCGTCTGGATTTTCTCTGTGTGGTTTAATATTGTCCTGAAAATAACAAACCTTATTTTGTACAACAGGGCGCTTGGAAATATAGTGAGCAGCCAAAGAGCTCAGTAACAAGAGAACAAGTTATCAGGTATCAATGGCTCAGTGATACTGCGTCCACACGGGTTGTTACTCCATGGCACATGTAAAAGAAGGTAATTTGCCTTTGGTGTGCCTTGGGGCAAAAGCAGGTACGGACAGGATTGCTGCACAGCCGGAGAAGCACTGTAATGTGTTTGTTGTACAATGACATGTCAAATCACTGAAATCTAGCCCCGTTAATTTCTATTTTAAGGATATTGTATGGGGAGCATGCTGGCAATTTGATTTGATTTGATGCTTGTGTTACAGGAGTGTCGTGGTTTAGCCCCAGCCAGCAACTAAGCACCACGCAGCCGCTCACTCACTCCCCCTGCCCCGATGGGATGGGCGAGAGAATCGGAGGAGTAAGAGTGAGAAACACTCCTGGGTTGAGATAAGAACAGTTTAATAATTGAAATAAAGTAAAATAGTAATGCTAATAGTAACAGTATAATAATGATAATAATAATAATGATACACGAAGCAAGTGATGCACAATGCAATTGCTCACCACCCGCCGACCGATACCCAGACAGTTCCCGAGCAGTGATCGCTGCTCCCTGGCCAACCCCCCCCAGTTTCTATACTGAGCATGACGTCATATGGTATGGAATAGCCCTTTGGGCAGTTTGGATCAACTGTTCTGGCTGTGCCCCCTCCCAGTTTCTTGTGCGCCTGGCAGAGCATGGGAAGCTGAAAAAGTCCTTGACTAGCATAAGCAGTACTCAGCAACAACTAAAAACATCAGCATGTTATCAACATTCTTCTCCTACTAAATCCAAAACACAGCGCTATGCCTGCTGCTAGGAAGAAAATTAACTCTATCCCAGCCGAAACCAGGACAAGGAGCTACTTTGTAAGGCTTAGACAAAGATAGCAAGTGGGTTGTGTGTCTTTTTACCTGTGCATCTCAAAGTTTTCAGAGGAAAAATAATAGGATCTTTCACTGCCTTAAACTTACAGTAAGCATTTACTCTAGTTCTCTGGAGGAGGTCATAGAAAAAACTAGATGAGGCCCTGACTGGAGTTTACATTTCTTTTACTAATTGGTCTGTACAGTGAAAAACCTCAGAACTTAAGATCACTGAGCAAACAGGGTAGCAAAACTCTAATAAAGCTCTATTTGATTCTGCTGGTCTTCTGAGAATCAGCTGACCAGCAGCGTTGGTCACTCGTTTCAAATTGTTTCCCCTCATCTACTCCTTCCTTAATACGCATTTTGAAGATTTGGGTTAAAAAAAAAATAGAACATTTAAAGTGCAAGTTAGCATACAATGTTGTACTATACATTCTTCCCAGTTCTGGTGCCTTACAATACAACAATTAGTAGAATCACGTAATAAAATTTTGATCTGGAGATTTCTATAATTCAAACCATCTTCTTGTAATGCCACTTTGTGTCAAGTATTTCTTCCCTCTGACCTCACTAGGTGTGCCTAGTCATTAGATACAGTGTTACTAAAGAGTTTTAACTTAAAAGCTGTTTTGATTAATGATTGGTTGGACTGAGGTTTTACTGCGTAGGATTAACTAGATTTAAAAATGGCAAAATGCCATAGTAGCGTTAATACCAGACTTTAATGAGAAGCAGAAGTAAACTGCAAGGACCCTTATGATTTTAGTATGGACTGAACTCAGGTGCTTATTACCTTAATGTTCTGTCCTATTTTATATACAAGTATTCCAATAACTCCTAGAGAATAGTAGCCTAGACAGCATATTAAAAATATGTAATCTGAAGTATATAACCCTGTATTTTTAATGAATCATAAATTTTGATAATTTTAGAGTCAGATTTATTCAGTGTTATTACCAAATAAGAGAAAATTGCTTCATACTGGTTTGGGCCTTTTTAATTAAGAAACACTATGGAAGTAAGGCAAAGCCAGGCTGGCAAACATTTCTCCCAATTAATAATGTAGTGACATTGTAGATGAAAAATGCATTTTCACATTTTTATGTCATCTGCTACTTGAATTTCCTTTTACTGTCTGCTTAAGTTCATTTAGTTCTCCTGAAAGTTTACAACGTTGCCACCTCTAGAGATTAGAGATTTTTTTGCCATTGATCACATATTTCACTCTATGATACTGCCAAGAAAACCCAGACCGTTCTCACTCCAGACAACATTCGGTCGTCTCCTTAAAGCCTACTAGATGTGATAGGATTTAAGCACATACTTAAAAGGTAATGCATTGCTGAATAAGGGTCTTTGTATCTGGTATTTTTTCAGTCCATGGTATCTTTGCTGAGATAATCAAAGGACACTGATTTATTATTAGACCTGAACAGGAGAAAACTTTCCCATCCCAGGAGTCTGAGAATTTTTTTCCTGCATTGATCCTGATTTCTCGATCGTGGTTATCTTTCAGTGAACTTCCAATAGTAAGAAGTGTGTACTGAAATTTTTGTTTCTGCACAGTAATATGCTGTGAGAATTAGGAACAGTGTACTAATAAGCAATAATAGCAGTTCTTTACAGAGGCGGCACTGTTTCTGCCAAAGGACGTAGGACGCCATCCAACCAAATACTTGGGCTGTAATGCCTAATTTCTCATTGAAATCATGGATATATTGGACTTGACTTAAATAGGATTACTCACTGAAGCAAATTTACGCAAGGGTCTAAGGCACGTATCCAGCTTTCAGTGAGTTAGGAGTCTACGTACTTGTTTGGCTCTGGGCCCCAGGCACTTGCATAATGTTGCGTGAGTTATCCTACCAAAAGTGAGACCTACATCGACATGGTTACTCATACCAGCAAAGTTGTGCCTGTGGACAAGTGATGACAGTCGAGGATCCTGCTTCCTCTTGTACCACATTGAAATCTTCTGTTTCCACTGATGATCGAAGCTCATTAGCCAGCATTACCTTTGCAGTCCCCTTTGATAATTTCTGTGCCACTGAGCTTTTCAACTACAGTCTAATATAACTTCTTTACTTATTGACTCATTGCTATTGGTTTTCCTATTTTTAGGAAGAAGACCAACAAAAACAAAGGACAAGAAAAAGAAGAAAAAGAATTTGATGGAAAGGGCTCAGAAGCAGCACAGCATCTTTTTAGCAACGGATAAAACAATCCAGTAAAGACTTGATTTTCTTTAATATATTTTTTTGCAAAGTGCACAAAAGCTGCTATATGCTCCTGCCTATGGATGCACTATGATTCAGCTGCTTTGACAGTATTGGTGGCAAATAACTTGTGAAAAAAGCCCACAAGCTTGTTTGTTTTATTTATATTTTTTTATTTTATTTTTTCCTCTCATTGTTGACCTGAAGACTTCAAGGTCAGGAGCACACTGAGTTGAATCAGTGGAAGTGGTGCTGAAGTGTGTCAAAGATTTTGTCCTGAGTGCCTCGTCAATGTGTTGACACGGAAGGGAAGCAGGAAAGAAACCTATGTATCACCATTAGGCGGACTTGTGCATATTTAAATAAAAAAAAAAGGAAGTCTTGGAGGTGTAGGTACTATTACATTTATGGCCTTTTTTTCCTATATTTGTACATTTCAAGAGTAAATGGATATGACTTACCTACTTAGCTTTAATGTATGTTGTTCTCAGCACCTGCTACATTGAAACAGTTGTATAATAAAACTGCTTTAAGACAATACACCCCAGGAGTTACTGCTTAGACGTACAGAAGCACAACAGACCCTATGTGTACATATTACTCTGTCTACATATAAATGAACATATTTACTGTACATCTATGCATTTTTATGTATAATACTTTATACATGTTTAAACTTATGTCCTGTTGGTTCTACTAATATACGTTAAAATAATCCAGTAAATGTTTACTTTTTACTATGTTTTAAGTATCTTCTCATATTTCTCAATAGTTACAAACTGGATTTTTTTTCTCACTTGTAAAGCACATTCAGATGGCTAAACTACCTTGTACTGACCCTCGCAATGGAGTGTCAGCTCTGAAGTACACTTGCTGGACTAGTAAACCGCGACTCTTTTCTGCTATTCTGTACTCCTATCTCAGCCCCAGTGTATTTTGTCTCAGAAAAAGAAGTGTAACTTTTTTTAAGATGAGGCACAATGATGATAGATGTTTTGAGTGTCAGGAGAGAAATTATATGAAAATTTCTTGGTATCTAAGATTGTATGTGTAGTTTTTTTCAGATGTAATGCACAATGTTTTATTTCTGTTAGTCCTGATCCAGTCAGATACAGCAAACAAATACCTGAATAGGGGAGAAAGAAAAGAAAAAGCTATGTAAGTTCAGTCATTCAAAAGTATAGCAAAACACAGTAAATGTCCCAGTATTGCCAGTTATTTGTAGAAGTTTAGCAGATTTAATCTGCTTCCGGTGATTGTTTTGAGGGTTTTTTTGGGAGAGGTGGAGATAACTTTCTGTGTAGGAAGTCAAAATGGCTCAGGATGTGTAATTTGGTGACCTAGCATTACTGGGCTTGCGTTCAAGGAGATTTTTTAATATCTGCTGGGAAAAGCCCACACTAAAATGGCTGACGTTTGTGCTGTCACTTAGAGAAGTTATTCCAGTTCTAGGACTAGAACTTGCATATGACCTACAGAAAGCAAGGAAAAGGTAAAAGAGACCCCAGACCCCTACAAAACTCTTTGACATATACTTTAGAAAAATCCCACAAATCTCAGTTTTAGTTTTATGGGCTATATGCTTTATAAATGAACTAGGGAAATAAAGCATCTATAAGCACAAATATATCCATATTTAGCTAGGACAAGTGTTGCTACAAAAATGTGTAGTAGTTAGGCACATATGAATGTTCCATAAACCGCTTTGTGGACTTCCACTGAACCATGGGGTTTTCACCATTGTTCATTTAGAATATGTTCATATTTACCTAGAACGAAATAATGTTAAGGACGTAAGATTGTTCTCATCCTGGGCTGCTATTTTGGACATTAAATGCTCACTTCAAAAAAAAAAAAAAAAGAACTGTAGCTGCCTGTTTGCTTACTGGTTGTCAAATTTGGCTGTAAGTGCAGTGAATGCCCTCATACAATCCTTTTAGTAGTGGTTACAAATATTGTATTAGGCATGTCATGAAAAGAATACTACAAAATACAATAAAATGATGTCACAAGCTTCTGAGTAAAATATTTTTTGTCCTTTTTAATTCAAAGAGTGTATTCCTTCAGAATAGCATACACATAGAAGAATCGGAGAAGGTGTGTGGATGCAGATTTTATCCCACTGGAGTGGAAAATTTGAGGGTTTTCCAAACAGCTATTTTGTTGACACTTACAACATGTTTGAAAAGGCACTGTACATGACATATACATTGATTTCTCTTTTCCCAGTCACCTTCATATTCAGAGTTTCGTTGAGAGTGTAGATACAAGAAACTCATCCCTGAGTAGCAAGTGGCCTTGTGTGTAGTTTCTTCTTTGTCCTAGACGTCTGTTTTTATCCTGCCTTTGCATGGTGGATCCTATAAATGTATTCATAGCACTGGGGTTTTTGTAGGATCATAATTCTCCTGAGGTTAGAAAGAACCATTCCTTGGACATTAGGAAAAGGTTCTTCACTGAGGGGGTTGTCGGTCACTGGAACAGGCTCCCCAGGGAAACAGTCATGGCACCAAGCCTGTCAGAGTTCCAGGAGCATCTGGACAGTGCTGTTAGTCATATGGTTTAGTTTTAGGTAGTCCTGTGAGGAGCAGGGAGTTGGACTTGATGATCCTTATGGATCCCTTCCAACTTGAGATATACTATGATTCTATGACCTTGAGAGATCACCTAGTCCCAATCTCTGCTTGAAACACGGCTAACCTCGAAGTTATATAAAATCTGCCTGAGGTGGAGGATTTCACAGCCTCTCTAGTCTGTGTTGCCATGTTTGACCACATTCACAGAGATTTTCTATGTTGTTGTGATTTGTGTACATTGCCCCTTGTCCTTTTGCTGTGCACTTCTGAGAAGTGTTGAGCTCAGTCTTCTCTATAAGCCCTGATCAGGTAGCTGAAGACTGCTGCTAGAGTTCCCTTTAGCCTCCTTTTCTCCAGGTGAAATATCCACAGAGTTTTTGGTCTCTCTTCAGGTGTTTTGTGCTCTGGTCCCCTAACTATTTTAGTGACCCTCCAGTGGACTTACTCCATTCCTCTGTCATACTGAGTACCCCAGCCAGGCATAGTACCCAGTGGTGGCCTCCTGAGTGCAGGGGAGGTCCGACCTCTCCTGGACTATGACCTTTCAGGATTCCAGAGAAGATCCTTGGAACGTTGGGTTTCATACTTCTCTGGGATGCTTGGAGAACTGGGGACAGCTCTAGGAAAGGGTTGGTTTACGCTACTGCTTCAGGATCTTCAAACAGATACTGTTTCTTGGTAAAGTGTAGATAGGTTTTCAAAGCTGGATATCATGAAAATAGCCTGTGCCCACTCTGACTCTCATTTCCTTTAAATTTGATCAGAATCAGGCTTGTAAAGGTCTTACTTCTTTTCTGGTAAGCAGCTGATCAGGTAGAGATGCCACGTTTTCCCCCTTTCAGAGCTGTCATTACTTTTTGAATCTGTTTCTCTCAAACAGGGGAAGAACTCAGAGCAGTGGAGCTTCTGTGTTCACAAGGTTTTTATGCCCCTAGTTTAATGATTAGTGATTGGAAATTTGTTTAAAACTGGAAGAGATTCAAATTAGTATGATAAAGAACTTCCCATACTGTAATTATCAGTTAAAAACAGTGTTACATTGCAATGATGTGAAAAAAAGTTCTTTTTCGAAAGTGTACATTCTTTTATATCTTATTCATGTGAACCAGAAGACACAGTTGCACAGCCCCACTCTGCATTTAGGTTCTCTCTATCCTCAGTATGCCTTACCTTATCCTGACCTCCTAGCATCTGTCTCTTTAAATTAAAAAAATCCAACCCCCCAAAAAAAAGCAGGTGCAAGTTTAAAGCAATTATTTTGTGGCTGACTGGTCTTTAATGCATCTCAGCTGTTCTTGCTAGTGAGAAATTATTGTTGCATGTCTCTCTTCTTATTCCCTGGGGAAAAAAAAAAGAAGTTGTGTTCCACATCACGGCAATGCAAACCTTCCATATTACATGTCAGTATTACAAAATTATTATCCTCTTACACCTATATGCTTAACATAAAGATGTCTATGAAAGAAAAGTGAATACTTGTAGAACTTATATGATGAGTCTTCCTTTATCAGTATCAGGTTATATATAGTTTTATAGTACAGAAAACTGCAAAGCAGAAAAAAATATGAAGTAGATTTTCACTTGAGTTAGATAAAAATAAAACAAAAGTTAACTGCCATGTTAACTTTATTTTTTTAATTAAAATAAAAAATATTGATAAAATCTTGATTGAATTCTTGAGAAGACTTTTCCTGACAGATTAAGTTCAGAGTTAGTGCTTCAACTTTGCTATGCTGATGAAATAGAATATAGACTAAAATTAACTGGATACTATTGGCACAAGTGCCACGCTTTTTTAAATGGGTGACGCTACTGAAGACTGATGCTACCACTTCCCAGGGGTTAGGAGAGATTTTTTAATTCGAA